CCTGACAAAAGGAACTTGGCCAATGTGATTAAGGTAAGGATGTTGAGATGGGGAAAACATCAGGGTTTATCTGGGTGGGCCCACTGTCATAGCAAAAGCACTCAGCAGTGTAAAAAGGGAGACAGGAGGGTCAGAAATCGGAGTGCTGCCTCCTGAGAAAGATGCAACTGGACATTGCTGGCTTCGAGATGGAGGAAGGGGCGTTGAGCCAAGGAATACGGGAAGCTTCTAGAAGCTGGAGAAGTCCAGGAAACAGACTCTCCCCGCCAGCCTCCAGAAGGAACAGCACAGCCAGCATCTGGAGTTTTAGGCCAGGGAGACTCATTGCAGACTTCTGACCTCCAGAACTGTCAGGTGACAAATGTGTGTTGTTGTAAGCCACTAAATTTATGGGAGTTTGTTACAGCAACAATAAGAAGCTAATACAGGAGGCTAACCTGACTAAGAGACAGAGCCCTGGGGGACCAGTCCTGAATTGGTGCCAATTGAATCTCTATTTCTCCCTCCAAAAAACAAAAGCTATGGGCTAGGGGGTCTCTCATGCCTCTTCCAGTTCTTACATTTGGGACTTTTATGGAAGAGTGAAATTGCCACTGTTTTATAATGGCTGGCAACTTGTTGCCAGGGTTGAAAGAAAACATTTCCCAGAGTATGTTTGGTGGAATTTAATTTCTATCGGCTGTTGATGAGGGTTAGTTATAAAAGAGAGCTGTTCGTGCAGCAAATCATTATTGTGCGCTTACCAGGAGCTGTTCTAGGTACTGGGGGAGTCAGTGGTAATCAGGGAAGATAATATCATCCCTGCCTACAAAGAGCTCACATCAGAAGGGTGAGCTGTGTGCCCTGAGAAGGAATATTTCTGCCAAAAAGAACTCCTCATGCTTAACAGGGCCCAAATTCATAATCAGAATAGAGTAGCCACTGTTTTCAGAGGCCTCTCAAGCACACTGCTTATCAGGGAAAAGCTGCAAACTAAGCTGCCAAGCCTCTTGCACTGTGCTCCTGCCTTCTGAGCCGAGCCTTATAAAGGAGTTCCTGGAATTATATTTTGACCAACAGGGCTAAAACCTGACTCATCCAATTGGAACTGCGCAGCTGTAGCCTCATTTGCATCTTTACCAACCAATCAGAGCTGTTCCATATGACCAATCAGGATGTGCGATTCCAACCAATCTGGACATGCTATTTGGAACAATCAAACGGGCAAATTTAAATTCCTTATTTGCATGAAAATGAACTAATCAGGGACCAGGGCGGGAACTTTATATAAGTGGGCCTCTCCTTTGTCTGAAGGGAGTGCACTTTCTGCTTCTGCCTGAAGCTGCATTTCCCCAGGTTTGCAAAGTGTTTGCCTGAATAAAGTTTCTCCTTTTACCACACCCCAGATTGGGGACTCATGGGCATTGGATTGGTGGCAGTGACCTTTTGTTGACAAAGCCAATGCACAGGGAACTAATGAACAAGCCATTTTCCACCAGGTATTAGTACTACGAAGGAAATGAAACCTGGTGATGAGATAGAGGGAGGCTGGCTACTGGCTGGCTACTATCAGCAGGGTGGTCAGTCTGGCCTCCCAGGGACTACATGACAAGATGAGCTGGACATTTAAGAAAAAGGGGAAAAAATATTGAGCTAAACAAAATTAAACAGAATTATATCTGGAGGAGTCCTGAGGGTTTGAATATACTAATTAATTGGTTCATGTGTTTATTCGACATATTATTTTATTGAACCAGGCAGTATTCCAGGCACAAAACACAGTACTGAATAAAACAGACAAGGTCACTATTGAATGGTGTATTGATGGTGTGCAAGAGACAGGCAACACAAAAGTAAACAGATAAACACAGAAACTGGGATGTAAAAGTACTCTGCAGAACAGAGCAGGTAAGGGGATAGAGGTCTCGGAAGACCTCTCAGAGGTGTTGGTGTCTGAGCAGAGACCTAACAGGCAGAACGAATCGGTGTGCAGCATTTCCTAAACTAAGGTGACAACGGAACCCTTTTGTCATAGAGCATCTTGCAAGATGCTTGCTCCTCAGAACACATTTTGAGAAACACTGGCACAGAGACAGGTAAAGCATGAAGCTGGCGTTCGCACACTCCAGCAGGACCCAGGCTGGCCATGACAGAACGGAGAGTAGGGCTGTCGTGAATGCAAAGTGCATTTAACGTAGGAGTCCCCCTGCCAATGCGTGTCAGAAAGTGGGAGTGACTGGGAGGTCCCTGCTGCATTGTAGAATTAGTGAAGCCCTACACACACTCTGCTGGGCTGTCCCGAGTTCAGCCTCGGTTCTGCTGGATGCCCGGAACTGGAGAGTACAATGAACCCATGATTAGACGAGCTGGCCTCTGCAGGCGCGAACAGGTGCTGGCTTTCACACGTCCCAGAGAGCAGGGTATAAGAACTGGAATCCTCTCCTAGGGTGTGACGTTGTAAGGAGCATGTATGTGTTTTTAAAGTGTATCACAAGTGGCAATGATCACTGTCCACATTGTCGGGAATCTTGATCCCCGTCCTCCTTCGGTCTTGATAAAGGGATACATTCTACACACCAGGCCCAGAAATAAGATTTAAGGCCCCAAACCAGGGCACACCCTGTACTCATGGAAAGTCCACGCCCTGAGAGAGAGACGAATAGTCTCGCCATGGAGCCACAGGGAGTTTTTCTGAGAAAGAGCCCCACCATCCCTGCAGTGTCCTTTTCTGTCTAGAGAAGGCCGTCTGGACTTTTTCACAGCTCACATCAGATGAGGCCTATTATGTATTCAAGTCCTGCTGCAACGAGGCTTCCAGCACGGCGTCCTGCCTGGGCTCTGGCAGAAACGCCTCTCCTGGGAGCAGGCTCTGTTCATAAGCTGGGCTCCAGGTCTGCTGGAGGACCGCTCCGAGAGCCTGCAGAATGGTCCTTTCTTGACAGGTGGTGATGCCACTCACCTTCCACAGGCCCCAGGTGAGAAGTCAACACAGAGACAGATGGGAGCAGTCTTCCCACAGGAGCTGCTGTTTTTTTCCGCGCCTCTGTTTCCCAGGAGCGGTAAGATGACCAAGCACACATGTGGATTCTCTGCTTGGATGCTCTCCCTGTCCTTTCTCACCTTCTTGTCTCCCATCATCTTTTTCATCTCAGCCCAGTGTCACTTCCTCTGGAAAGCTGACTTCATCAGATTTAACCCCATCATTTTGGCTTCTTATGACACATCAGGCCTCTTTTATGAGCTCCTGAGATGGCTTCAAATCCCAGGTTGGCCACTGACTGTCCCTTGAACAAACCCTATCACCTTCCAGGGCCTCAGTTACCAAAGGAAGGAGGTTGATGAGGTACTTTTATGGTCCCTCCCAGTCCCAATCCTCTGGGATTTCCCTTCTTAAAACAAGGGCCATGATCCCAGCAGTTACCCAAGGTCTTGGCCTTGGGGCGTGACCTTAGGAAAATTCCCTTCCCTCTCTTTCACTTACTTAGCACTAAAATGACAGCGTGTGCTACAATATTGTTTTCAAACTTTTTAAGGCATGCATTAAAAAAAAATCAATCTAATACCTAAAACAGGTAAGAGTGAAGCTGCTTTGTTTGATATAGGGGTGAGGGTCTGGAAGGCCCCTTTCTGTTTTGGCCTCTGAGGCATCTCCCTGAACTGGGCTCCTGAAGCAGTTTGAAAGCCACTCCCTTAGATGGTCATTCCAAATCTAACACTGAGTCAGGTTCCCACATCTACGGATTGCCTGAGTTCTGTGGGGTCTGGAGATCTTCTTTTGAGGAGTGCCCAAAAGACACAAAGATTTGCCTGCAACTCTTTAATTTTTTTTTTTACATGCTTGATTTCAAGTGTCACTCCAATTGACACAGGAAATAAGAATGATAAAGGTAGGAGAGGAGAAACCAATCAATTAACCCATTTCCAAATCATTGCTATGGACGCAAAAGTGCTAAAACAAAGGACATGAGCAACCACTGCTAGCTCTGCCTGCTTGCAAAGGAGGCGCTAACACCCATAGAGGGTGTCCCGGCCCCTCACGTGCTCCTGGGCACCTGTGTCTCATCCCAGCACCCAGAAGAGCTGCTACCGTTCCCACCACGGAGTTCCCACCATGGAGGGCTGGGCAGCAAACCGGAAAACATGGCCACTGGTCCCCAGGAGCACCCAGGGGAGCCAAGGTCACAAACAAGGACTTCAGGTGTCTGCAGAACCAGCCCGCCCCTCCTCCAGAATTCAGAATTCATTGGGTCATTTCCCACCCATCATTGTTACCTAGATGCCAACCATTGGGTGGCTTTCTACAGCCAGGGCTGCATACTCCTTTCTTTCTTTATTTTCTAACACCTTCTAAATTCATCACCTGTGCAAAGTGAGCAAAACATGCGGAGGTTTGAGAAAAGAGTGAGTGCCCCTGCTTCCTGTGTCAGAGAAACACAAATCCTTTTGTGAGAAATCCTTTGGGAGAGGGTCCAGGGATAGGCCCTCGTGGGTACCTGATTGTAGCTTTCTATTTGTAAGCCAGAACGGCTGGCCTTTCGGAACCAGAGAGAAACCATATATACTCTGAGGCAGCTGATTATTATTATTACTTTTTAATGGCTTTAAAGCTCTTCTAAAACCATCTCCTGGAGTTAGGGCTTCCTTTAGAATTCCCTCAATGCTTATTCAGCTTAAAAAAATGCATGAAATTAGTAGTCACTCTGCAGCCTCAAATGCATCCCACTCTCAGCCCCATCGTGTGGTGACGATTCTCTTTATCAATCCCAGGACAGCAGCTGAAACTATTGCACCATCCAGCATTTCCCCTTCATCCCCGCTCCCCACCCCCTTGTCCTGTTCTGTCCTCTTAAATTTAAACTGTCAACCCTCTAGTGACAGACATGGCAAGCTGAAAGGGGAGGGAGGCGGTGCTATTTATAATTCGGTTATAATTCGGCGTTGTTCGCCCTCAGAACACGGCCATTTTTTCCAGGCCACCTGCCAGAGCCACATTCCCCAGGCTCCTTATATGGGCCTCCCCACGGGCCCCTGAGGCCATAGCCTTGCCTCTGAGGGGACCAAGGCAGTCTGGCAAGTCAGGAAGGTAAGGTCTGATCCGCTAGTCCAGGGCCTGTGAGGAGGCCATCGCCAGCCTGGCTTCCCCCCCGCGGGGTGATGTGAGACGGGGGAGAAAGAGTGAGGAGCCCTGGGGTTACCGTCCTGACAGAGCTTGGAGAGCAGCTGGCTTTCTCCCCAGGGCTTGAAAAAGAATGGCGAGGAAAAAAATGTATTCTTGCTCTAAAACATTAGGTCACCTCTTCTTTTGCCAAGTGGTTTTCAATTGTTTCCATCGTGATGGGACTGAGGTCCATGGCAGCCTTGCCAGCCCCTGAGGGCTCCGAAAACTGGATTTATGGCCACCCTCAGATAGGCGGAGGGGAGGGGAAGCCCGGGAGGGCAGGCAAGTCGAGGCAAGGGAGTGGGGCCTGGCCACGCAGGTATTTTCTCCAGGCTCTCAGCTTTGATTCGCATATATTAAGGATACAGAGAAAGTTGCCCGGCCTCCCCTGGGAATTGGGACACAAATACCCTGCTGTCCTCTGGAAAGCAAGCTCAGAGGCAAAAGGAAGCGCCTGGCCAGTTGACAACTCCAGGCGCCTCTCGTCTCTGTCCTTTCTATGCTGATGCCCGTAGGGCCAGGCTGAGGTCACCAACGGGCAGAGGGGCCCTACGGAGCAGGAGACCTGGAACCCCTCCTCCAAGTTCACATAGGAAATTTTACTTCGATTTCTTGAACAGGATCTTCAAAACCTCAAGAACTGTCTGTAGTGGACACAGCTGTGTCAAATCAAGTTCAAGTCCTTCCTCTAAACAGTCTTCTGTGGCCATTTGGATAACTCTTCCTTAGGATATAGAGCATCTGGTATTATTACGAGTGGTAATTAATATTAACAACAACAGTTCGGCTTTATTGAGTGCTTACTTGATGCCAACCACCTAACATATAGTATCTCATTTAATCCTCATAATGACCCTGAGAGGTGGGCGTTATTCTGAAGGTGCGGAAGCTGGGGTGCAAAAGGGTTAAGCAGCATGTCCACATTTACCCTGTGGGCAAGTAGCAGCACCCAAGCTCCTCACTCCCAGCCTCTCTGCTGTCCGTCCTGGTGCCTGTCACTCACTCCTGCAGTTTTCATCGTGATTTTATATCCTTGCAGGTGGAGGCCACGTCTTAAACATCTTGCCTCTTCTTTTCTCCTCCCCTGAGCATTTAGAAGAAACCAGATCTGCAGAAAATGTTCCCTCATGCAGCAGTCCTTCCACCAAGGGCACCTTCTACCTGCAAGTCCTCTTCAGCCTACGACTGATTCCTGATTCTCTTTTGACTCATGGCCTCTGTAACCCTCCCTGAGTGGCCATGACCCTGCATCTGTGGAGGTCCCTACCGTTACTCGCTTGCCTGTGACAAATATGGGACTGGCACTTCAGGGGGGAAAAGCAGCAGCAGGAGTTGATCAATTCCTAAGCAACGAAGATCCTGTTTTCATGCAAACGTCCTCGGCATTAAAGCAAAAACAAATTCCTCCCAGGGAGCGTCCTGGATGCCAAGACACATTTTTAAGCGAGGTTTTGCGCCTGCGTGAGACACGAACAGGGATGAGAGGAGAGTTGCATGCCAAGTGCCGTCTCCTATGTGCTCATTGAAACCTCACAGCCACCCCACTAGCCAGCACAGTCGGATCCCGATTTGACAGATAAGGAAACAGGCAGAGAGAAATGAGGGACCATGTCCAGTGTCAATCACCTGGCAAATGGAAGCCAGGGGATGTGACCAGGTCTGATGGAAGCAGTGTTGCTTCTGACACAAGCACGGGTGTCAACTGTGACTGCGTTCATCTCACAGAGACTCAGGGCATCAGCACAGACATTTCAGATGAGTATGGGTAAAACCTTTTTTTTTTTCTTAGTGTGCTTTTCCCATCACCAAATAAAAAGAAATTTGGATGGTGCCTGGGTATCAATGCTCTCCTTATAGAGAAAACAGACCTGGGTGTGAATCTAGATGAAGTGTTAGAATTGACTAAATGCTGTTCAGTCTGTGATGCAGACTTGGTGCTCAGAAGTGTCCTTGACTACTTGGCTCTAGGAGTGGTCTTGGCTTCCTTGCCTCTGATGCCATCAGCAGATAAAGACAGGGTGACCATGAGAGATATTACGGGGTGATGCAGGACCTTTAGGTGGAATGATAACAAGTGCGCCTAGTTCTGAAAAGGTGGGGATCCGTGAGGGCTTCCTGGAGGAGGGAGATATTTTGATTCAACACAGCGAGGATCTTGCAACAGACAACTTTGGCCGGATCCTAGAGGAGCTGGGAGTCCGCCAACACCAGCCCTACTGGAGGAACACCACCGGGTTCACTAGGCTTGCACAATGGTTACAGAAATTGTCCGCAGGGCATCTAGCCTCCAGCTGGCTCCAGCAGCTTTGTCCTTTGAGATCATAGGTGCCCCAAAGAAACACACGTAGGACCAGGATATACAATTCACTTTTCGCGTCAGGGATTGTGAGACCTCCCTAGTATCCATGTTCCTCCCTTTCCCTCCCAGGTTTGTAGTTGGACTACATTTCCCAGCCTTCCTTGCAGTCAGGAGTGGTCATGTGATTGCATTGTGCCCATTGGAACGGGAGCAGAATTCCAGGCCTTACCCCAAAAACCTTCCACTTGTGGTTCTCTCTCTTTCTCCCATCTACCCACTGAATGGAGAGAGCTCCCAGGACTAGAGGGAGACAGAGCCACAAAATAAGAAAGAGCCTGGGTCCCTGAATCACTGTGTGGAAGAATGCCTGCCAAACACATACACCGAATTGTGTGAGCAGGAAGTAAGGTGTTCAGCTATGATAATTTGGGGGTCGTTACACACTGTTAGCCCACCCTGACTAATATAGCCTCTTACTAGCCATGTGGCTTTGGAAAAGTTTCTTAACCTGCCCTAGTTTCAGTTTCCTGGTCTATACAAACCATCTTGTGAATGACTGAACTAACCTTTGTAAAGCTCCTATAATCAAGGCCGCATTATGGCTTCCGTGAGCCCTGGGCCCTTTTGCCTTTGCCAGTCCCTTTCTGCATTAAAAAAACCCCAACAAAACCCACCAAAGCACAAACACATTAAAAATTAGGTTTCACAATTATAACTGGTATAAAGATGAATATACTCCAGGCCGAATTCATTATCATGGTTATCATTATTATTTATCACTTTTATATTTGATTTTATACTCACTAGCATTATATTCATTTTTTTTCTTCTGATTTTAAGAGAAATCAAAATTGAACATTTTCTGGGGCCTTAGGCACTGTGCCTATTGTGCCTAATGCAGAAGCTGACTCTGCTTGCTACAGTGCCTGGCTCATGACTCGCGCAACACAAGGCAACTATTATGGATCTTTAAAAAGTAATAATAATAAGACGGAGGCATGAAAGAGCACCAAATGGTTATGAAGCCGTTTCATATACATCGTTTTCTCCAGCTCCCGCCTCCATTGTATGAGATGGACATCATCTATATTTTCCAATGAAACCAGAGGAGGCTCATGGACATGAAGTGTCACGGTCAAGCAGGGCAGCGCCGTCTACCACTCCATGCTGTCTGCAGGGTGCTTTATGTCAGACGCGACGCTACACACCTGTCTTACTTTATCACCTTTAATTTTCACAACCCTATGATGAGGTAGGGATATTCATATTTGTCCCCATTGTATGACTGAAGAAAGAAACTGATGCCAAGGACAAGTGGCTGAGCTCAGAACTGAAACCACGTCTGGTGCCAAATCTAATGCTCGCTCTACCACCCTGCCTTCCCATCTATCAATAGCTGTGTCACGAGAATTGATAAATGGCAGTGTCGGTGGAGGGTGTCAGACACCCTGACACCTCCTTTCACAGAGCGGGAGAAGAACCTGCTCAGGGCTGACATCCAAACACATCCTGCCAGATTATGCTTGTGCTTTTTTATTCTCCACCCAAATGTACTCTTTAGAAGGTCTAATTATAGTGACTTCTATTTTCTTGTAAATAATCACATCTGTCATAACTGATTTAACTGATCTGAGGTTCCAAGTTGGCAGTCTTGGCGGCCTGAGCCAATGTGTCAATTATGCCAAGTAGGCCGTAAGCAAAACTTGCATGAAATGGAAGAGAGAAAAAAAAAATTAGTTGCATGCATATACATGGTGGGGATCAATATGTGATTTTTTTTCACAACAATCATATCAACACAAACTCCTTGACGTGGCCAATGGGTGTCAATCCCTCAGCAACCCAACTTAGTAAAACAGACACAGCCAGGCAAGATCTCAGGGAATAAAAACAATCTTTTTCATGGAGACACAATTCTAAAAACTGGCTTCCTAAATACCTTTTGCGTCTAAGTAACCACTACCCCTGGGAATTTGCCACAGCTCTTTATGCCTGTTTTCTGGGAGAAAAACAGAAATGATTCAAGAACATAGTCTTAAGGGCTACATTCTGAGTGTGGCTATTCAGCCAGCCTCAAGTACTAGCAAGAACTTTGGGTCTGGACTTGGGTACAGGTCTGCTCTGTCCCACCAACTTATCAGTCAGCAGTGTGCCTAAGCAACAAAGCAAATCATTGAACGTTCCCGAACTCATCTCAGCTTTCTCATCTATAAAGTGATGACAACCTAGAACCCTGGTGGAACTGATGACACGATGACTTGTGTGTGACAGCTTGCTGGAAAGTGTAAGCACTGCATAAATGCTAAGCATCATCATTACTAACAGATCAGCATATACCGAGTCCTGTCTTCAACCCAAAGGGATGGCTTCTTTCTTCCCTCAAAGAACCCTAAGGAGAAACAGTCACGCTTTAAGTCAGAGAAGGGATAAGAGATGGGATCTACTTGGGACTTCTTTCACAGAAAGGTGTTTGAAAATCATCCTGCCAATAGAGTCCCTGTATCCGATGGGAAGCCGTGAGAAAAGAGTTTCTTCCAGGTAAGAACGTGGGAAAACAAAAGGTGCCGCTCATCCACTCCCCAGCTGCCCACAGCAAATGGACACATGGCTTTTGGTGACCCAAGTCCTGTGGCTGGCGGAACCTTCCTGGGGTCTGGCCAATCTGTGTGAGCAGAGCGGTTCCGACTGACTGGGCTTTGAGTCTAGCTCAGCTCTTTACTTACGGTGTGAGCTTCATTCGGCAAGTTAGCTCATCTTTCTGTGTTTCAGTTTCCTCATCTATAAGATGAAGGTTAGAACAGTGCCTATCTATCTCTTAGGGTGGTGGTAAGGGATACACGGATGAACACATGTCAACGGCTTACCACAGGGCCTGGCCCACGGGACGCAATCAGTACATTTCGGAATGTATTACGCCTGCTGCAATGTTCATATTACAAGTCAATGGTCTTCCTTCCCTCATCAGTGTTTATGAACATGTGCGTTTAACATGTTAACCATCTTCAGATTTTCCACATTAAACCCCTTACTAAGAAGGACATTCGGTAGTCCACCAAGGAAATCTGGCAGCCAGGCACAGTGTCGAAGGCCTTCCTCCTTCAAAGGAACTTCCTTTCCGGTGCAGATATGTGCGAGAGTTCTGGACTGAGAATCAGGGGACCCAAGTCCTAGCCCAATGCCATTTTCCCCACTCTGTGGCCTTGGGCAAGTCACTCCCCATCTCTGTGTATTAATTTTCTTGGATGTAAAATAAAGGGGGCTTTTGGCTATAAATTTCAGTTGATTCATTCGTAGAGGAGCTATAAGGTGTGAACCACATAACGCCATCACACACTGAGATGGACGAGGTCCTGACCACGGCCTTACGGCTCTGGACCATCTGTGTCTCCCGGCCCACTGCCCTCCCCTCACCGTTCTGCTGCACGCATTGGCCTCCTTGTGTTTCTTGCGCCCCTCACGCGCACGCCTGCCTTAGGGCCTTTGCCTCTGCTTTGTTCCTCTGCCTGGAACGCTCTTTTCCCAGATAGCCCCACAGCTCACTCCTCCACTTCCTTCAAGTGTTGGATTCTTACTTTTGTTCCCCATAGCAATGATCATTTTCTAGTAAAGTATATGATTTCTTTACTTATGATTTCTGCTTCTTGTCTGTCTCTCCTCAGACCCAGAATGAAAATTCCATGAGGCAGGACTCCCTCTCTCTCTGTTTTGTTCCCCAAGAGCCTGGAAGACCCCCTCGCACATAAGAGGTGATCAATAAATATTTGACAATTCAATGAATGAATGAATGAATGAATGAATGAAGAGTACTCTATACTAAGAATGAGCTTACTGAATTTTTGACAGCCTTTCTAAACGTGAAAGGGGGGTTCTTACTCCTTATCCATCTTCTTTACCTGTGGAAGGATCCTCACCTAGACACCCTGGACCCGTTACTATCCGCCTTCCCCACTTCCCTTGAAGTGCGGCAAAGCACCTGTTTGGCAGGTGACGGTCATTGGTCCATTTCTCAATGTGGTGACGTTAACCTGTTCCCGTGGGGTTTGACGCTGTTCTGCAAGTTGCCAGATTTCTCTCATTCTTCTTGTCAACTGAGACCTGCTAGGAGGGTGTCTGTCATCCCACAAGTTCACTGTCACTCCCAGTTTCATCTTATTTCCGACCACAATGGTGACCACTGGCTGTCTGCAAGGTCTCAGGCACAGGGACTGGCATGTTCCCGCCATCATCCCAGTTAATCCTCCAAACGAGCCAACCAGGCAGGTGTTACTATCCTTCATTTTACAGATGAGGAAGCTGAGGGGGTTTTTTTTGTTTTTTGTTTTTTTGTGTGTGGCAAAGTGTCTTCATGTATCATTGTAGCTCATAAGCAGCAGTGTGAGTTCCAAAGCCTGCACACTGGATGGCTTCTAAAGGTAGCGTTTAGGTCTTCACTTAAGCCACAAATAAAAATGTGGACAAGAGCCCTGGGGTCGCTGGGCTCAACCCCAGGACCCCAATCTAGATGATTTCACTCAGATCCGTTGGCACACTTTGGTGTGCTCATTTAACCTGCGAACTTATTCAGTGGTATCATCCACCATTTCTCCACTATGTTCCCACGGAGCTCATGAGTGGCTTTCTAAAACACCTTGATGGAAACCAGAGATGCCTGATTTGTGGCTTTTCCCTCATCTAGCAGCTCAAAAGCCAGTTTTAAAAAAATGAAGTTAATCTGGCTCAACCTGACCTTGGTGAGCCCATGCTGCATTTTGATGACCACCATTCTTCCCTCTCTAAGCCCTGACAACAGAGCCCAGGGGACAAGAGCTTTAGGGCAGATAAGACCGACACCAGCTGAGTCCAGGTACAAGGTTAGACCTGCAGTAAGGACTGCCTACCTTTTTCAGCAAGTCAGTGACAGGGAGGTGAGAATGGCATAGGATAAGGAAGCAAACAGTTTATTTGGCAAGCAGAGATCTGTCTCAAGCCTACCGGTTCCCCTTTCCCACTGTGAATCTGGTGCATTACGGTGCACTCAGCCGAAACAGTGACCGTTGGCTCCTTTCTCGAAGCATCCAGGAAATGGTGACAGCAAGGGGTGCACAGAAATGAACAGACTCCATTTATTAAGCTCTTACTATTTGCTGAGTACTGCATACAGTGCTGGAGTTACATGATCTCTTCAAATGCTTTAAACATATTTTTAGCAAAGGAATACATGCTCATGGTCAAGAAATCAAAAACTCCAAGAGGCTTATAGCAAAAACCACCAGCTTATAATAAAAACTAACCCTCTTCCCCCCACCGCCCCACAGTCCCCAAAAGGCAACCTTTCTAATTCTTACTGTTTCTAGTTCTTTGGGTAGCGACTTCTCTAAGTATAGGATTTCTCTTAACCTTCAGAAAGTTTGGATGATGTAGAGAGAATTACTACCTCTCTTTACAGATGATGAAATGGTGGCATAACATGGCCTCAGGTCACCCAGCTAGAAAGGAGGGGAGACAGGAGTCCAGCTCACATCTGTCTCACTCCAGGTCCTGCTCTTAAACTTTAGGCTTCACAGGCGACATGTCTGGAGTCTAGTAAAGGATGTGCCTTGGGTCACGTCAGGCACAACGGCCCATGATGGCTCTGAGGTCACCTGTTATCTAAAATCACCCCCGGTGGACATGGCTACATAACATACGTGAGCTTTCTTTTCTCCCAGGAGGTTTGTTTTCCACTCTTTCTGGTTTGTTCTCCTCGAGCCACTTCAGCTGCCCTTTATGACACAACACGTGACTTCAGAGGCCGAATCTCTCAGGCCCTTGGATTTGCTCTCCAGGGACCTCACAGCTTCCTGTCTCTCATCCTGGGAGACGATGCTAAGGGCATTGATCACCATTTCTGTTCCAATGCTACAAACAAGACCACTCCCTTCCAGATTCGGGTTTTATAAAGAAATGGTTTTCCTTTGCTTTGTGACTATCCGCTATTTCTTGACACAATGTGTGCACAGTGCAAAATGTAACAACGCCGACAATATTTGTTAATAATATAGCTACTGGTTAGGAGTCCCAATGCAGACTAGTCAGGTTCAAATCTTGGTAAGGGCACTCACTTAGCAATTCTGGGTACCTGGCAAGTTACGGCCCTCTCTATCACTGTTTCCTAGCTGTAAACCTGGAAGGGGTGTGGTGAGAATTATGGCTTATGAACGATGAGCTAATTAGGTGGCTGAACAGATGGGCTTTGAACTCTTCTGACCAGAGCCAGTGCTCGATATAGGTTATTATTATTTATTAGTACTGTTCTTGTTTAGCTCCCTACAAGTTTACCTGAGTCGTACCCATACATCGTACATAGTCCTTATATCTAAAAGGAGTCAGAGCAGAAAGGATCATCAGTCTTTTAAAAGTATTTAAAGGTATAATTATGAGCCCATTTCACAGATGAGTAAGTAAACAGAAACTAAGGGAAATGACCTAATGAAACAGGATGTTTCAGAGTCAGAAGCAGTCACTAAGGCCCATCGGAACTGTCCTGATAACAAGGTTGGGTGACTTTGTGTTTTTTTTTGTTTTAATATTTTTAAAAATTAATGTTTCAAAAGAATTTTCAATTTTCAGTTGACATTCAATGTTATCTGAGTTTTAGGTGTACAGCGTAGTGGTTAGACACTCATATAACTTACAAAGTGATCCCTCCTATAAATCTAGCACCCATCTGGCACCATACACAGCTACTACAATATTTTTTACTGTATTCCCTACGCTATACTTTACATCCCTGTGACTACTTTATAACTGTCAATTTGTACTTCCTAACCCCTTCACCTTTTCAAGGGCTGGATGACTTTAGACAAGTCACTGAACCTCTCCGAGCCTCACTTGTAAAATAAGAGGGCTGAAGCTAGGGCCGAAGCTGTATCATCTTCTAACAGAGAGGAAGTACCCCAGTTAAGAGAAGGTATCCAGGGTCAGACTCTGGACTTACATGAGGGGTCTTCCACTTACACCTGGCTGACCTTGGGCAAATTACTTAATCTCCCTCTGCCTCAGTTTTCTCATCCAAAAAATGGGGTTAGTCCTAGAACCCACCTTAGAAGGTAGTTGTGGGAATTGAATGAGTAAACCCATTTAGCATCTCAGGACAAGGCCTGACACATGAAAGCACATGGTAAACATCAGTCATTATTACTAAGCCTTATGTGGCCAGCGCGGCCTCCAACACCATGCTCAGCTCTAAGCCCTGTGGGTTGGTATCAGATCTCTTTCCTGACTGTGGGGTACCCACTGGGTAGGGCATCCCCTGTGATCCCCAGGTTGAGTGGTCTCAGGCAGGAGTGTTAAACTCTCAACCTAAATTCAAAGGCCGCTTCCAAGTGCCTAACATTTCAATCTGAATGGAAAACCCCTATTTTTCTATTTCCGCAGATAACATAGATGATGGTGTTTTTTGCTGTCCTTCCCATAACAGTCTGGAAATCCTGAATAAATGTCAAAAAGGATTCACTGAGTCAACAAATATATAATAGCATTAAAACTCTTAGCAGCGAACCATTTCCTATATTACCAGAAGCTTAAAGGGGATAATATTTTCAATTACATTATTCAATAAACTTGCTATTTAGGGCTTAAGTGATGTTGCTATAATTTGTAGTTAATAGGTCAGTGGTTCATTCATTCAATTGGAAAATATCTGAGCCTGCCTAGGAGCCAGGCATTGCCCCAAGCTTTGATGATTCAACTACAACAATAACCTTCAAACCTAGCATAGAGCTCTGTATACAGCAGGTGCTCAATAAGTGAGACTGGCAACTCCAAAAAAGATCTGTGCTTGAGAGGTGTTCCTTCGAGTTTGAACAGATGCTGCCCAGGCCCCACCCATGTCCCCCGCCCTTCCTAGTTCAGTACCCATCACCTCACTTCTAACTGCTGACACCTGTGTTTCCACGCCTGAGGGCTCTCTCTGGTTTCTGGGCTCACTTTGCTTTCCAAGTAGCAGGCCTGGAGTGCAGGGGAGTTACAGCCCCTCAGAGGGCAAGCAGCCCACAGCAGTGACCGGTGGGAGCTGGTGGATAAGTACCACATCTCAGCCCTCATGTGTGATGACACTGAGGAGGCATCACAATCTTCGCTGGCCCAGAGGGGCCGGGTAGGATGGAGTCCCAGTGGCCCACTGTGCTAACTTGCTTGAAAATGCTCCACGTGTCCTGCCACCTTCTCATCCTGGTCTCAGTTTCTGGCTCTCCCACCAGAGCTCCCTTCATTTCTCAAATAAACTATCTGCATTTGAATCTTGGTCTTGGGGTCTGCCTCTGGGGAACCCAAACTAAGACAGTCTGATTCTTGGTTTCATAGAATGAACAAGCACAGAATGAGAGAATTGCAGGGGTGATAACCTTCCAGGGACAGGAAACACATGGAGTCTGCAGCCACATAATGGCAGAAGCGAGATTTACACAGTGTGCAGGCTGAGGGCACGAAGCAGCTGACAGCTGCCCTGCGCACAAGGGGCCCCAGGATCCTGTATTCTCATCTCAGCTCTGGATGCAGCATTGTAAGCTGAAAAGAACATGGGCTTTTGAGAGAGGCAGATGTGGGTACGAAACCAGGCTGGGCCACAGGTAGGCAGGTGACCCCTATAGGAAGTTAGGAGGCCTCCCAGGACCTCAGTTTGTTCAGCTGATATGATGATGTTCAAGTGTGAAAATGTACATAAAACACCCCACTAAGAGACTCTAGGTTTCTTTCTAGTGTCTTTTT